ACAGAGGTTTTTACTCTGGCCTAGCCAGGAACACAAAGTGGGCTCACACCTCGTGTAGAGACCAGCTCAGGCTTGAGCTGTGCTCTACGAGCGGCACAGATGGAGCAGCTCTGAGCCCTTCCCTCTAACAGGGTCACCCTGAGAGGCTGCCATGGACAGAGCTGCAGCTGCAGTCCTGATGCTCTACAGACTCTGCAACTTCTTCACTTCATCTTTGCTGTTCAAGTTAAGTCACAGATCTCAACCCCACCTCCACAGCTCCCGGGAAATCTTGCAGAAAGGAAGGTGTATTTGTGAGATCCCACTCAGAGCAGCAGAGCACAGGCTGCTTGCATTGTTTCAGCTCGCAAAGCAAGACACCTTTGTCTTGGGTGGAAGCAAAACAGCAGCTCAAAGAATCCAATGGACCACATGGGTTTTCAGAAAGAGCCTCTGCAAACCCCATCGGACAATACAAGTGAAGCAGTGCAAACAGCACTAAAATAACAGCAGCTTCCCCAAGCCTTCACTGTGGAGGAATGAGACAACAGCTCAATAGTGTGATCCTGATTATGCCACATTATGGTCTTCCAAAACCAGTCAACTTTAATCTAGTACAAAGGTCTAATGAGAGTCAAAGAAAAATCAAAGTTAGACAAGCAACAAGGGTCACAATTTTAACCATGTGGCTAATTTAACCAGAAGTATAAAGAAATCCCCAGCACTTAAGAGCAAAAGCTCTACAAGAAACCATGTAACTCAAATGGAAGAGACTGGCTGAAGTCTTTGACCTGTCTTACCTGACATCCAGCTGGAATAGCACTGAGTATCCTCCTTTCCATGAGGATCATGCTGCCCCAACCAGCATCTGAGCTCATCAGCCCTTTTCCAAGCAGTCCTAGCATGTTCCCTGCCACTCCCAGTTTCCAATTCTCCACATATTTAGTTTTCATATTTTACATGATATATCTTGCCTGGGGCACAGCAGATCACTTACCCTTCTCCTATTAGCTCTCTGTTTAATTACAGTTTAATGTGAATTGATTTTTACATTAATGAGTCTGTAAAGAAGATTGATTTTCTTCAAGAGACTTTTCTGCTCAGTTTGGCAGCAGAGTAGTCCTATTGATTTGCTTTGTCCAGTAAATACACTGCAGTGTCACTGCATCTTCTTGTGAATCAGCTAATCCTATTTCACACTCTTTTGCTCCAAAAATCCCTATTCTGAGTTCCTTGTTATCTGTGCTTATTCAGACCAAGACGATGGGGCCAAAGCATCTCAAACAGCTCTGCCTGTTGCTAACACACAGCTGACTGCTGTGGGTCACTGTCCCCTTTGTTCCTAAATGGCTGGAGGCTTAAAAGACATACAGTGAAAGAAATGAAAGTTATTTTTAAGTGTTTAATCTGTTAACTTCCTTAATTCCCGGCCAGCTAAGGATGTGGCAGAGCGTGGTCTGTTTACCAGGCTTGCTCTAGAGGTCTGGTTAGCACCCTCCACTGAGCCCTACAGCTGCCCAGCAGCCTATGGCAGAGGATGCTGACTGAATCAGGCCTGGAGCCAGGGCAGAGGACAAGGATTCACCTCTATCATCTGTCCAAATGCCCCAAAACCCCTCCAGGGTGCAGTTACTCATGTGCAGGTAGATGCAGCAGCAGTGAAGACAGACCCCAGAGTAAGGGCTGAGCTTGTGGCTGCTCAGGGATTTGTAGGAAACCCATAATAACAGACCAGAGCAGGGCTGATTGCAGCTCCTTTAACCTGGCAGGCCTAAGAGTTCTTCCATGCAAATCAGTGAGGAAGCTGGATATAAACAGACTAAGTTCTGCAAATAAATGGATTCTTCCATCATCCCTTTCCCCACCAGATCAGGTAACAGGGTCTCCTCGAGAGCCTTCAGAGTTAACACACTGTAGCTGCACTGGGATGGGAAATCCTCAGCCAAGAGCATGTCAGTGAAAACATCCTGCCATCAACTCCCAAATGTCCAAGTCTAGGAACTGTAACTAAATTACAAATGCTGTGGGAATTTCAGGCAAGGTTCTCCTCTCAGCTATTCCGATGTAATTTCGGAATGAATCCAGATTCGGGCTCTCCCCCTCCCAGCTGAATTTCCTGGCTTTTGTTTGCACTAACAGATGTTTGCATTTAATGTGTCTTTATTTGGTAACCCGTACATAGATTATTTTTCCCTTCTGTTCTATTAAAAGCCTTATCAAGTCCCTTATGTTTGCTCTTGCTGAAATGAACGACTTTGGCAATATTTTCAACATGCAAGGCAAACAAACTGATTCTTCGAGGAATAACTGCACCAAACTCCATGGCAGTATATCAGGACAAAGCATTTTTGATACATATGTTATGTCTGCATCCATCTGCAGCCTGGGACATCCAAAGGCTTGCAGAAAGCTTTGAGAATTCTCTCTTCAACAGATTCTCACATATATACTTAACTGGCCTTTGGTCCTCACACGTGTGGGGTCAGGGAAGTTCTGGGTGGTGGAGACAGGTACGGAAAACCCAAGAGCAGGGAATGCAAAGCAAAGTTCATTTTTTAAAAAAATTTTAAAAGCAAAACCCAAAAAAACCTCCACACAACCACCAAACTTTATGGGAAATCTGAGTTGGGCAGTATTGCTTCCCCCAGCCCTAAAGGAGAAAAAGTGTTTTCTCCTGTTTAGGAAGAGTAGGAGATGAAATAACTCACTCAAAAGAGATGTTTATGGAGACAGGTACGGAAAACCCAAAAGCAGGGAATGCAAAGCAAAGCTCATTGAAAAAAAAAAAATTAAAAAGCAAAACCCAAAAAAACCTCCACATAACCACCAAACTTTATGGGAAATCTGAGTTGGGCAGTATTGCTTCCCCCAGCCCTAAAGGAGAAAAAGTGTTTTCTCCTGTTTAGGAAGAGTAGGAGATGAAATAACTCACTCAAAAGAGATGTTTTGAGTGACAAATATACAAGCCTTGCTTTTATAATACATTAACAGTCCTTTGGAAATACTTAACCACATGCAATATACAAAACCTACTTCAGAGGTTTGTGAGGTAAACACACTTCACACATTTCTAAACACTGGGAAAAAAAAAGGAAATGTATTTATTTTTCTTTAGCATTAAGAATACACTGTAACACTATACACTTAAACATAAACCAGTTTCTCAGTACACAAGTCTTCATTATGAGTCTTCACCCTGGGTTTGGTTTGGCAGGCTCCCCAATTATTACTTCACAGATTGCAAGGCCAGAAGAAACCAGTATGACCATATAATCTGATTCCTTACATCACACAAGGCTGAACAACTTTACCCACCGATTTGCCTATCAAGCCCATTAACCTAGGGTTGAACTAAAGGCCCATCTTTTAGGAAGCCAACCAATTGATTACAGACTCCCAAAGATGGAGAAAACTTCACTTCCTCAGCAAATGATTCCAATGTGAGTCAGCAACATCGATTGGAGCAGGTACTTTAAAACATCTTTCAGGTTATTTTTGTCTCTGATAAAAATTAAAAGGAAATGCAAGGGGGAAAAGTGGCACTCTCTAATACAAGCTAAACAAAGAGACCCTTCTTGCAGAAGTATGACAGCAGTATTACGAATCCTGCTATCAGAGTTATTTATGTGCAGCAGCTGAGGAGAGCAATTCAGATTTCTGGAAAGTGATACTAAGCAGGTTTATTCAGAATACCATCCTTTTATCATTTGGCTTTGTAGCTTCTCCTTCCTTCTGCACCACTCTGAAATTTCAGATGAGCTGTAAATCTACTGCCTTCCAGAAGTCATTATTCCCCCTTTCCAAACTGCTCATTTCATTTCAGGAATAAAAAACCCAAAGCTCCAGCAATTTGGGTCTTTGCCAATAGCTAAATTAATAGCAAAAATAACAACAGGGGCTTGTGGAACTCAGAGCATTTATAGACTTCATGAGAAAGAGAAGCCGATCTGGGGGGCCTAAAACTATATCCCTGGATGGCAAATTCTATGCAAGCTTTCCATCCATAAATCAGATTTCTGGAGGTCTTTTTCAAACCCTGGCGCACAGCACACATGTGGCAGCACAGTAAGTCAGCTGATAAAGACTGCCTCAGAGTTAAGTCAGAGCCTTTTGAGCAAGAGAGGCCAATCAGCTGGTGGTGTGGTCACAGGCATTTTCCACCACAAGAAGCACCAAATCCATGGAGAGCACAGATACCAGCCTGCAGGTGTACTGTAGGGCCATGCAGGCTGGAAGTCACCACCTGAACTGCTCCAGCATTTTGCTGGAGTCCCTATTAGCCATAAAGAATTCCCAGGAATCTGGGAGGTATCATGCATATCATGCAAAATTCCTTCTCAGTGCAAGTACAAGCAGACACACGCAAAAAATCATTTTAGAAGTCCACACTCTTTAGATACTAAATAGTTTGATATATTAATATTTTATTCCCTTGAGCAGCACCATCAACCCAAGATCTTTGGGGGCCAATACAAAAGAGTTCTCAGGTGTCTGATGCTTCTGTGGTCATCTAAACTACCAAAGTTCTGCACACCATGCTTTACAATCACTGTTCTCTCAAAAGAAAGTGTTAAAAAGAAGTTGAAAAAAATAATAAAAACAGGTCTGGAATGAGTTCCCTAAAAGATACGAATAGTCTCTGGCTTTAAGAGGAAAGAAGAAATTATTAGAACAGTGCCAAGGAAAAAAAAGAACAATAAAGAAAATGTAAAATTTAATAGCACAAGTATGACTTAATGGTTGAAACCCAAAGGCAGATGTGGAAAAAAAAAAGTTTTATTCAACCTGTGGAATTTACTGTCATAAGTTACCACTGATCATAAGCATAACACACAACCTCACACAAATCACACTCCTGATGATGTTTCTTCATTAAGGTTAATTAATTCTTAAATTTCTTAAGAAGCCAAAAACCAAAATCTAGAGTCAGCAGGAATGAGTGTGACACCCACAAAACCCCCAGAAGCAGCTAAACCCTCCCCAGAGAGAGCCCAGAGCCAGAAGAGGAGACAGTGACTTACAGGTGGAGGGAGCGGACGCTGGAAGCAGCAGATCCCAGCGAGGGAATGGCACTCAGCTCGTTGTGGTCCAGCCTCCTGCAAGAAACAGAAATTGAGGGTTGAAGGCAAGCAGCCTGTGCCCAGGAATACAGGAGGAGCAGGGGAGGGCTGGCACTGAGGCAGAAGCCTCCATCTGAAGGGGTTTTTCTCTGATGGCCACACCTTACTCTTTAATACACCACTGGTTCCACCATATTTCCTTTACAAGCTTTTTCCCCCACTGCCACCCACTAAAGCATTGTGCCACAGCCCTCTCCTAGCCTGTGTTACAAATTTGCCTTAGTGAGAAATAAACAAGCCGTGCTTTTATAACACATTAACAGTCCTTTGGAAGTACTTAACCACATGCAACATACAAAACCTACTTCAGAGGTTTCTGCTTCACAGCCCTCCACCAGCCGGTGTTTCCAGAGTCAAACCTGAGGCAGGAGGATTTTGCACCTCAAGGCCACGTGTGCCATGGCTCAGGACAGGAATTTAACCCTTCCCCAAGCAGCAGGCCCTGCTCACACCAGGTCAGGGCCTGGGGGCACAACCTCATGGCATCCTCTCCACAGCAGGCCCAGCTCCGGAAATCCCAGAGGGATTTCCTCACAAAGGCAGCAGAAATGTCACCAGGCACAGCAATGTCACCAGGCACAGCAATGTCACCAGGCACAGGGCCCTGCTCCAGGCAGCTGGGGAGCACACAGAGCCCCTGGTTAATGGCACCACAGGCCATCAGCTCCTGCAGCCACCAGCACAGACACGTCCCCTGCCAGGGCCCAATGCTTCAAGTGTTTTTCTGACTGAAAACAGATCCTTGCCATGTGACTGGCTCTTCCTTGCTTTAAAGAGCCCTTGTTTGTACGGTGAATTAGTCAATTAATTACTGTAACAGTCGCTCGTCTGGCTGCTTGAAAATTACCTAATTTCTCAGTCTCCTTGCCCACTCCCCCCTCTCGCCGCAGTGATCACAGCCAAGCCCTGGCCAGGCTCCCCAGGACCCCCAAAGCCCCCCTGCTCCCACCACTGCTGCCCCAGGCACAGCCTCTGGGTCACCGTGGGCTTTCCAAGTGCTCCCCTTCTGCAGGGCATCCTGGCAAGATCACAATTTGGGTGCAAAGCACAGCATCCCAGAGCCGCACAGCTGAGGGTTGCTAAGTCACAGCCATGAGTAGGGGCAATCTTAAATTATGATGGCTTTCCCCCCCCCCCCCCCCTTCTTTCCTTTTAACACTATTTTTGGCAGGTGGGAGAGGGCAGTGGCACATTTATCCCAGAACTTCCCTTCTGGCTCCTCTGAGAGGAGGCAAGATATTTGATTTCACGAGGAGTTCCAAGCACTGCTGGGATAAAAGCTTTCCTCTGCCTCTGACATTATACCCATGCCTTAAAATGTAAGGGAAAAAAGCCAGATGCATTGCAATTCAGCAAGGAGCTCCACTCTGCAACTAAAAACTCACTGTTGCTCATATTACAACATGGTCTAGAGCTTCCAAAGGTACAAAGCAAGCTGGAAAGAGCATTAAAATGCTTATTTGAGCATGTTTTCATAAACATTTAACTAAGCATCTTGTGGAGAAGAAGGAGCCTGGGTCAGCTCTGGTTAAGCAGCTCTGACACCAACCAGCATCTAACAACTGGTCAAACTCTCCTCTGACATAAGTGTGATATTCATATATCAGCCTCCTGTCATGTCAGGAATCAGTCAGAAGTGGTTCTCCCACCTCATTTTCTCTCTTGGCTCACAGGCACCATTTGCTGACACAGAGGAGACAGCCAAGCCCTGTATTTGCCTGGGATTTCCCACTCATCTTCCCCTTTTCCCTATGTAAAGGAATTGAAAAATAAAAAATAAAAAAAGAGGGGGAAAAAAACCCCTCAAAACAGAGCAGCTGGGCTCAACAACTTTAAAAACTTTCAGTCTCCTTCCCCAGCCCTCACCTTTGACGACACAAACGCTCTGGATGCTGAGGCAGAGGAGGAGGGGGGCCACCCATATAAAATATTTACAGTCCAGTTGCCAGGCTGGTGTCAAGCTGAAATGGAGCCTGCTCAAAAATAGCACAGCTCTCCAGAGCTTTCAGTGAAAGGCACTTTAGAAAAGAAAAGGTGAGTTGTTTGGAGTGGAATTTTAGCATGGTTGCTACTTTCTTTGCTACCAATGGGCCTGGAAAGCCTGAGAGCCACGAAACCATCAGTTTGGTGGATTCCATGATCCATGTGACCTGAGGAAACCCCAGAAATCCCACAGCAGCACCCTCCATCCCTCCAGCCAAGGAATGAGAATGGATTGACACCAGGGGATTGTCACCAGATGAAGGCACCAAAGGGCATGAGAGAAAGATCAAGTGTCCTGAAGGAAAGTAATGTCCCAGTCCAGCCCCTACCCTAAGCCTCAAGCACTTATTTCAGAGCAAGTGGGATCACAGTGTTTTGCATCACCTTGAGCCACTAAATTTCATCCTACACAGACTTAAAACTTTTCTAAAAGCCTCTCATAAATGCCACCAAAACAAAGCACACAAACAACTGCCTAAACTCAGGGAGAAGTGTAGGGTAATTTCTGCTCTGACTTTATCAGAATCTCAATAAAGCAAAGCAGAGCATCGAAGATAAGGGATGAAGTTTAAATCTTTTGGTCTGCAGATATTTTCTTTAAATCAAGGGAAAACAAAATGTTTTCAAAATATACCACACTAATTATTCACATGGAGAGACACACACAGAGTTTTAAGCCTTGTGTAATGCTCAGGAACCACAGACAGCATGTTTGAAGCATCATGGGAGGTTCAGGTCTTATCAATGCATCTATTATTTGGGGCAATCTCTGTCCCTGAGGGTGCCTTCGTTTGCCCAGCACAGCATGCACAGAGAAACACTGACTTGCTCTCGAGACGTGCCACAGCATGATGCTTATTTCATGAATGTTTGTCAAGTGCTTAAAAAAAAACCCGCAGAAAGAAGATGCTCTGGCAATATAGATGTGGTTCTCCTTGTGAAATGAAGTTTATTTCAGTGGTCTGTGGTTTAGCTGTTATTCAAAAGCAACCAAGATTAGTAGATAGGGCTTTTAATAGAGCTTCTCCCTCAGACTTCCTAGAGCCTGCCTTCCAGGCTCTGCTCCAGACCTCTGCCTCCCCTCCAGTCTCCCATTTCTGACTGCTCCCTTTCCCTCCTACCCACTCTTCTGCTCTCTCCCTATTCCCTAAACCTGTCTTTCTGACACAGCAAGCAGCTCTTATCTACCCATTACATCGTGGCTGCATCACTTATCTCCCCAGAAACCCTGACACCTTTTTACAGCATGTAACTGTTCAGTGCAGGGCCTGTCCTGCTCTTACACACATGCACAGTACTTTGTTCAAGGGAATTCCCTACCTGGGGAATCAGAAGCCACACACATTTCTCACCCCGTGCTCCCTAAGTCACACACCTTCTTCAGGCACTCCCATGAATAAAAGCCATTGCTAAGCCACAGTCATGTTAGGATAATTCTAAAGTCTCACAGAATCAGGGCTGCAATTCTCTTCTTTAAGCACAGAGCAATTTAAGGCTTTCCACAGGGAAAAGAGAAGTTGAGGAAACAGATCCTGCAGGCAGTGTTCTGCTGACCCACATCACTTTCTCTCTAAAGATCACACTGAGCTGATTTCAGAGCACTGCAGTCACTTCTGACAGACATTCCTCACTTACTCATGATTCCCAGCAAGTCCCTACTGTTCATGTAAACAGAGGAGCCAGGGGCAATCAGGCCACGAGAGGGATGCTGCATTAATCTCCACAGTCCAATCCAGCAGGCATCAGTCAGAGAAAATTCCACTTTTTGCCTATTTAAGAATCACAGGAACTGGCCCCTCCTTGAGTCCCAGAACCAACACTTAATGAAAACAGACAGAGGACAAGAGAAAATGCTTGATAGAGCACAGTATTGTTTCTGAAAGGAAATGTTTTTTCAGTTTCCCATGAGGCACCAGTAGCTCTTCAAACAGAGCCCAAACCTCAAGTATGCCAGCGATTCACCAGGCAAACACGAGCTCATTACCTCAGCCCACCGCCTGCAATCTAGTCACTTTTGGTTTTTAAACCCCAAAATCACAGCTCCAGGAATCCCTGTGAAGGGCTGACAGTGCAGCCCCTCTCTGAGTGAAACTGCTGAGCCTTCACAGAGACCAGGAGCTTGGAAAACCTGCAGTTCAGTGAAATAGGTTTGTTTTACCAGCAAGGAGGGTCTGGCACAGCCACTCAGACCTTCACCAGCTCCTCTGTTCCCCACCAGAGCAGAAGACAGCTCTGCTGGTTTAGCCTCTTCGAGCAAGACTTCCAACAGAGTTTGTTCTGGTTCCAAAAGGAGCACAAATGTCTGAGAGAGGAGGAGGCACAGTTAAGTGCTTTGTTATCCACTACACTACACCTTTGTTTCCTGGGAGATTTGGGCTAGGTTGGCATCAGGTATCACAATCCAGGCTGCTGTGCCTTGCTTCAGGGTTATGCTTTCAGCAAGGAGCTTTGTGTGTGTGTTCAGGTGTGCTGAGCTGCTGCCTCCAAGCATTGCACAACACCGAGGGAGGAAAACTCCAGTGATTTCCAATAACAGCTCTGCTGTTTTAATTGGGATGTTGTGTTCTGCTCATTGATTAGTTAAAAAAAAACCAGCCCAGATACAATACAGAGGGGAAAAAACTCCACACCAAGTCAGACCTGCTCATTCAACTTAGCTAAAGGAGGTACTGTCTTAGGAAACGAGATATAATTTCCTCAGAGCCCACAAGCTGCCCTGGCAAACTACAATTAAAACCTTTGAAGGAATACTTACACTTCCTGCAGGTTCGACAGCTCTGCAAAGACAGAAGGATCAATCTCTGCCAACTTGTTGTAGCTCAGGTTTCTGTTAAAATAAAAGACAGTGGGATCAGCAAAATACACTCACCCTGCTCAGCAAAACAGTCATCTTAATTATTCTGGATTGCACTGGGAAGGTTTGGGTTTTGTTCTTTTTTAAAAGAGAACTTAAAACAGCACTTTTCTGCTGAATACATGAGTGTATTCACTAATACATTAGTTACACGACAAAAATCTTATCTAGCTCTCCCCAGTCTTCTTCCTCTTTTGCATTAGATTAGTGTGGTTTTAATTTGTCTTCATATTACACAATTGCATTTATTATTCTACTATTGATTATTTCCAACCACAAAACTAATCACAGATGAATAGGATGTTTCCTGACAAATTAAAGTCTGAACTGAAACAATCAACAAACCTTCCACTAAATATTTTATAGCTATATTCACACAGGGTATTTTTTATACCACTGTGTGTTACACACAAAATACACATATTATGTGTATTTTACACATAACATTTTATACATATGTTATTTATATTATTTTTATATAAATAATATATATATTTATATTATTTATTTTTACTATGTGTAAAAATATTTTTTCTAATATTTTTTCTAATTGTCTAATATTTTTAAATTTTTTTTTACATTTTCTAACAAGATGATATAATTAGTCTATCACTACATGGGGTTTTTTTAATCAGTGAATACAGCTTTCAAGCCACATAGTAGTACACACTTTGCTCCTCAACAATCCCAGCCAACACTTTCCAACTATCCAACAGCCCAAACCTAAACCTAAATCATATTCTAGCACCGATGGATGACAAATGGGTTGTGCTGTATTATCTGAAAGCAGCCTGGTGGGAGAGCAGGTCTGCCTCACAGGACATCCCTGATTGGAAACACATCCAGAGCTCAACATGCTGCAGGAAGGAACACACTGGAAGGATTGCTAGGGGTGGCAAACAGGCAAAATAATACAAATTAAGTGCCAACTCCAAGAGCTCTGCCATGCTCTGCTGTAGCATCACACAGTGCAGCAGCAGAGTCTTCCCTCCAAGACATGCACCCTCAGCACACCGCACAGGACAGGTCAAACCTGCAGCTAGGGACTAACCAGATCAATTATGCCCAAGTGACTAATGATGCAGAAAGTAACAAGTGCTTTAATTACCATTCTGTATGCAGTGCTGGCATGTTTCTGTGAGTGTGTAATCTAAAGAGGGAGGAGGCAAATTGATGGGTGGTAGCAGAAAAGCAACCACAGTAAATTGTAAGGAAATTGTGAGGGGGACTTCTTTAATTTTACTTTGCTCCACACCCTGCTCTCGGATATTACCCTGGGTAAAATTCAACCCTCCTGCCTCCTCTGCAGGGAGGTTACACCCTCTTACTGCACCTCTGAACACAACCCAAAAGATTCATGGCCTGATTTTAGATAAGCCCTCAAACATGGAGCTGCTTATTCAAGCCACCAAGCCAGTCTGACTAGAAAACTGGCCAATCCTCCCTGGTTTGGGTTTTTCTTTGCTTTGTGCCCACAGAAAGCAAGCAGGTCTGGAACCCAAACAGGATCTAAGTCACCGAGGCACCTACTGAACTTTTACCAATGCTCCATGACCCAAGAGCTGAGGCACACACAGAGAAAAGGCAGCTGCCAGAAGAGCACGGATGGAAAATATCTCCTGAAGTGCTCACACTAACACACTGCACTCTGTGGCAATGCAGAGAGAAACCCAGGCTCACAGCAGCCTTACAAATACCAAGACTTGAAAGACTACAAAGCTTACCAACTTTGCAGGAAGTGATAAACACCTCTTTTAAGCTAAAAAGCAGATATTGATCACCTGGCCTCTTGTAATGCATTTATGGGAAGTCCTCAAAGCGTTCCCCTGCACAGGGAATCATTTGATGGCTCTCACATCACGCCATTCCCCATCATTTTAGCTCTGAAAGCAGCTCCTTGCATCTTGCCCAAAATGTTCAAGTTTTTTTGCCAATACCTGCTGTGGAAGAATGCTCCACAAATCAACAACACAGGCTGGCTCTTAACAGAGCCTAGAACTGAAGCTATACAGGAGTGTAAAACCTAACCAAGCATCTCAGTTTAAAATATGCTGTCCTGTAAGCCCCTACTGTCTTTTAAAACACTCAAGAGACCTTTAAATCAATACCAGCCTACAGCAGATATCCATTTCACTATGAACTCAAAGGCATTCATCTAAATAAAAGTCAAACTGCAGTTTAAACTCAGAGTGTGTTTGAAAGCCAAGTCCATATTCATAGCACAATTACGAATTAAAGTGCAATTTGCCCACAGATTACATTACTACTTTTTTTTTTTTAACCACACAGTAAGATCAGGTTGGAGCTTGTCCCTGTCTGATCTACAGGCAAAAAGAGAAAATACAACAGCTAACGTCCTACAGGCTCAGCACAATAAAGCTGACACAGAAATACAAGTGACAAACTAAAAGGGGGAAATACAACCAGACATGATGGTGCGTGAATCCATCTGTTTTCATGTATTTCTATGCCTTTTACTACAGCCAGATTTCACATTTTTCAGGCAATGTATTTCTCCTCAACACATTCCTCTGCAATAGACTAAGAAGCTGTTTTATGAAGCAAGAAACAAGAACACATGCACCAGAACTGATTCTCCCTGCACTTGCCAGAGGGACCAGATCCCTGGCTTAGCCTGTGCTCAAGCACTGAGTGATGCTGACATGAACCTCCAAAGTTCACAAGTGAAAAAACAAGATCTCCATAAATTAAAGGATTTCATGGCCACAGTTTAACATCACCCAAAGCGACTTTCTGATTATTGCTGCTGCCATTCAGGACATTTGAACATCAAAAGCTGGCTCTTCAGAGAGCACAGACAGATTTTGCTGCAGCAGCAACAGAAAGACTTCCCAAGAGCTGCTGCAGAAATGCAGGTGAACTCCATCCTCTTGAACAACAAAGTCTTTGGTTCCCCCCACACTACTCACCCCAACCACCAAGCATCCTCACTAAATGTACACTGCACTGCTCAAAAATCAGTGGGGAAATGAAAGCTAGAAATACAGTCAGTACAAAATAAACAGGAGACTTGAAATTACATAGATACGCCAAAATAAAGTTTACTGAGTTTCTGGCACTAGCTGTATTTTAGCTTATATTAAAATATCCAAGAATTTCTAGCCTGAAGCGTTAGTAATCAAAGGATGTGTTTCCCAGAGCTCTGATTCCCTCACTAGGCCGTATGTGGCATGCCAGTCACAGCATTTAAGTGAGAGGAAGAATTAACATGTTTCAATAGATAGATCATTGGGACTGGGAGTCAGGAAACCTCTGTCTATTCCTGGCTCTCTTAATCTCCTGCTGTGTGACCGGGTCATGTCACATCACCTCTCCAGAGCTTTTGTTTCCACAGTCACCCTTTGTCTGTCTTGTCTATTTAGACTGTAAATAAAATTGAGGTAGGTATTGTCTTGGTTTGCCTGATGCTGATGAAATGAGGCCTCAATCGTGGTTGGGCTCCAGTAATGCAAATAAAGAAGGGAGCTCAAAACTTGAGGTCGTGGGGCTCTCCCACCCCTAAGTGTGGGTCCCAAACGTCCATCACTGAAGCACTGCAGGGCTTTAATGTCCCCACCAGGTTGGCCTCTCTGAGCTGAGCAGAGCAGCAGTGGAGGCTGACTGGAGATGCCAAGCCCAGGGACACAGCTGTCCCATCACTGAAAGCTGGCACTTTTGCTGTTCCTCTGTAGCAGAGGATGCATTCCTTCTCGAGGAGCCCTTGGGATGATGCCACAGTTGCCCAATGAATCATCAAACAAATGTTTCTGCCAGTTTTCCAAAATGTCTTCCTCAAAGAAAGAGAGACATCAACTCCCAATACCAAAACCTTGTCCTTCCCCGAATCAGCACCTGCCCAGCCCTCTGAGGTATCTCTCACCCTGAGCACCTCTTCAAAGCCAGTTTATAAAGCATCACCTACAGTGTTTTATGCCAGTTCCAAGAGTCCATGGCTTTGGTGCATATTCTGCCCACTTCCTGGCACCTACATTTGAGGTTAGCTGAGCCCAAAAGTGGGGCTGCCCACAAACTGCCCAGTGCCCTGCTTCTCTGCATGGGTATGTTAAATTACTCATGGAAGGATATTCTGATTCCTCCAAGGCAGCTGTGGAGAGAAAACAGAAGTCAACTAAGGTAAATTCAAGAACCTGAGCTGTGAGTTCAGGGAAGCATCCACCAAAGGTTAGAAGTTCTACAGGTAGCAGAGGAGAAAGAGCAGAACCACCAACCTGAGTGGCCCCTAACACTCAGATTTTTTTTTCATATCAGCTTCTATTGAAAAGGAAAAGATGGTAAATGTTTTTAAACTTTACTCTGATTTACTGGCATGAAAAGTTCTCTACATATTATTTATCCATTACAAACTTCAAGTCTTCCTTGTATTGGCTAATCCAACAATGTAGGGTTTTCCCCTCCTGTCACTAAGATGCCCATGATCAGGAACTGAGAGCCTGTTAAATCAATATGGGAAGGGCCCTGTTCTATCTTTTCAGCCACTGCAGTCTCTAAATAAGAAAGCAGTGTTTGCCTTCAGTTGGCATTGTGGAAGTGGCACTGTGGATCACTGAATTCTGCAGAGACTGAAGTGAAAGTCTTGTTAAATAACTGGGTATGCTCAAACTACCTCCCAAAAGAAACAATGCTGTCACAGAAAGTCCTGCTTGCCCGTGAGGAGGGGTCAGTCAGTTCTTTCACCTGTGAGAGGCCAACCCTGCCCCCTTGGGCAAGGTGCAGGGTAGAACAGGAGTTTATGTCCAAGTTTTGGCTCTGCTTTGGGACCTTGACCAGTGCAGAGAAAAGCCACTCTGTTGAAAACCAGACAAAGGAACAGAGACATACATGGCTCCTGGTCTCTGTCCACCATGATGATGGCTCAATTCTGTTCTGCAAGGTGAAAGTTTCCAACCCTTACATCAAAACCATTAATCTGTCAGTGCAGAAGATTATGTCAAAAGTGTTTCTGCACCTTTTGA